GCGGGGCTCCGGATCCAACAAGGGCTACTAGCCAGCCAGCCTCTCCTTCCACAAACTTAACAAACGCAGCACGGCGAACAGTAATGCGAAAGTTACGTAGAGTAGGTAACAAATATGAGAACAAAAAGCAAGATGATTTGCGGTCCTTATCTTCATTAATTATGGCGCGTGGAATGTCTATTTTCTGAGGCAAAATATGTTCCATAGTATTGTTTTCATTCGCCGCGGATCAAGTACAAGTACAAGTATCGCCGGAAGAGGAAGAAGGGGCGATTTCTGAGACCAAATTCCAGAGTTATAGGGACATAAGCAGTTTTTGTATTCAGAACACTACTAACATCAGATCCAAGCCCCGATTGTTGGAAAAGGCAGGAGCCATTTGTGAGAGGGATTGATTGTGTACAGAACCCCGAGTTGCTGTCCCACGCAGCAGTGGCGACTGGCAAAGTCAGGGCTAGTGTTGACTGCGTCCAGTAAGGCCTGAGAATGTGTGTGAGATATAGATGGCAGCTACTTCTACAGGATTGTGAAGCGAGTTCAAGTGATATGAAATTGGTGTGTTGCATTGCTCGAGGGGGTCTTGTATAGTGGCTCCTGAGGCATCGGCCGAGGGTATTTTGTTCAAGTAGCCTTTTGGTAGCCGTAACTAGTTGTACATGCGTGTGTGCACGTGTGTGCGAGTGAAATTCGGTCAAGGGTCTTCAGTTCAGCGAGACGCAAACAGCTGCCCACAGAGATGTATGATGTTGAGGCAGTGGGCATTGAACAAGGAAGGGGACCACACTGTTAGATGTCCGTCACGTTGCCAAAGAACAGACCGCAAGTGGATCCGCCTCACGGGACACCTCCAGACCCAGTGGAGCGACAGCACCAAAATATCTATCGTCACCCGCACCCCACTCGATCCTAACCTGTCCTTATTGCGATCGCACATTCATTTCATGCATCGCCCTGGTCGGCCACCTGCGAATCCATCGCACTGTGACCGGCAGGCTAGTGCCAGGAGTCCCGATAAATTCGTCGTATTAGCCTTCACTGTCCACCCACCGCACGGGCGAAATTCGCAGCGATATCGACATGAAAAGCACACTCTCCACACCAGAAAAATCTACCAGTTCCATTACTAACAAGACAGCATCAGAGACAACTGCAGAAAAGGGGAATAGATGCACAGTTTAGGCAGTATTTATAATCCGTAGCGACGACAGGACCACACGTGTACAAAAATTAGCAGTTCTCGTGAGCTTTGCTTGCCTGGGCAGTCAACGCCCAAGTAGTTAATTGCTGCGATTTAATCACCCGCGTTGGATTTTGGCATGATAATGACAGGACAATTAGGCCCACTGTCATCGAAATTGTTGATGGCCGGCGCCCTCCCTACGTGACTGATTCCCCCGCTCAGGCAACGTCGCAGTACAATATATGAAAAATGCAAGTCATTAAGTTTGTTGATGGACTGCGAGCCTGAGAACCATGATTCGAACAGCTCGCGGCTCACGCGGTTTTCATCTCTTGCGAGGATTTCTTCCAATTGGTGCTTTTATCATTTCTTTTTGTGCTTGTCTCTGATGATGGATTCAAGTCAGAATCCTAAACGTTAGGCTACTAACGACTCCCATCCACAAGCGAGGCCGCCGCTAACAGCAACAAAACTGCAACCGACGCTCCAATTGCCGAACGATCCTGTTCGAATTGCCACCGCACGTGCACATCACGCATTGGTCCGGTCGGTCACTTGCGAACTCATCAAACAGAGATCGGCCGTCCAGTGCTAGCAACCCCAACATACACTCGCCACAGCCATCTTCCCTGCCTACACTGCCCACGTATATTCACCCACCACATGAACCTAATAGGCCGCATGCGTCTCCTTGAAAGCCTGCCTTCGGTTTGAACACTACTTTCGGACGCTGAACGAACACTACGCTACTGCAGGTTAACTTTTCGGCTAACCATCGAAAAAGATATGATTCCAGTCATGCTAACTATCAAACGCTTTTTTATACACAGACCAGGTCCCCTGCTCTCAATCCCGGAACGATTTTTATTCCTGGAAGTATTCTGGTTCAGAATCCTACTATTGCGCTTAACAGAATAAAAATGACAGAAGCTAGGAAAAATCTAAATAAAATTTTTTTAAACGTGACTTAATATTTACTAACAGCATAGAACAAACGCCTATAAACACGCCTGCCCGTATAAATGTCTGACAAACTTAGTAGGTAAATGCACGCAAAGGGTTAGTGCGCAAAATACCGAAACGTTATGCAAGCCTTCTTCGAATAAACTTGCCTTCATTAGGAAGTGTCTCAAGCAACCTTAAATTACTCGCCTGCATTTTTGGTATTCGATAGACTGTTCAGAAGGTAGACTGGATAGAGAGCCGCTTTGTTAGGGTTTTTTGGCAATATTCTGAATGATGTAATTTACTGTACTTATTTATTGAAAGTGTTTAATTTACGCATGAAAAGATAACGTCTCACAAGGTCTTTAAACCTTACAAACAAAAGTCAAGGACGAGACGCTGGCACCAGAAGCAAAGCGAAAAAATAAAAGTACCATTTTCTTGTCGCCAGCCAACATATAGAACTCGTTGACACTGTCTGTAGTTATAAATTTACGCGCATTGCGGAGTTCCTCGCCGTTGGCCTCATTGGTTATCTTTTTCGGTTGCCCAGCAGCATCTGCGAGGGCAGTGCTGAAGAGATCAATATCAGAGGAGTAGGCGGAAACAGGGAGAGTAGCTCGCCAGAGGAGTTGCACATCCGTAAGAATGAGAGGGATGAGCCAGGGATTATGTAGGGGCACCTGGACAGTGAGCCTTTCTGAAAATTAAGAAAAAAGTGGATGTTATCTTAAGTTGAACAATTTTTGGAATTCTGCACGTCCATCTCCGGTGAAATTCCGTCTTACCTACATGCTATTGTGACAACTGATTCAGACACAACAGTCGGGTCTTTAACACAATTCCTGGAGAAACTTAAAGGGGTAAGCCTCCTGCCAAACGATATCATGG